TTGTTTTACTTGGCTTAGACCTGATTTACACCAGATTTAGTCCTGCTTTAGTCCTAGTTTAGTCTTGGTTTAAACCTGGTTTAGTTCTAGTTTAGTCCTGGTTTAGTCCTGCTTTGGTTTAGACCTGGTTTAGTCTTGGTTTACTTGGTTTAGACCTGATTTAAACCAGACTTAGTCCTGGTTTAGTCCTGCTTTAGTTTAGGTTTAGTCCTATTTTAGTCTTGGTTTAGTCCTTGGTTTAGACCTGGTTTAGACCTGGTTTAGTCCTTGTTTTAGACCTGGTTTAGTCTTTGGTTTAGTCCTGGTTTAGTCCTGGTATAGTCTTGGTTTAGTCCTCCCTTTAGCTTCTTCTAGACCAGACTTTCTGACTATGAACAGCGTCGCCTCTCCACAGATCTGACCCGTAACTCTGTCCGGTTTGGTCTCCATGAAGACAGAAAAGTTTAAAGCCACACTGCGGAACATTCTAGACAAAACACCAACACCTCAAAACGGACCCTGGAGCAGAAAAGTCACACAACGCAGCTTCAAAACTCAAACCGGATTCATATTTCGAGTCGAATTAAAGTCGTAAACGTCGTCGCGTTTTATCCCAAAGCGAAAAACAACCGAACCAAAACTGTTTCAATGGCACATTTTAACAGCACAGGGTCTTTGCATAAGGCAGCGGGCCAGCAGGGGGCAGCCTAACCCACAGAGGCAAAAAACACACACACAGACGCCTCGCGAACCCAAAACCCGAGACGGACGAGGAGCAGGGGAACCACGGGAAGTCAACGGGAACGGCACGGGAATTTACCAGGTTCAGAGTTTTCACGTGTTAAAAATCACCACGTATACAAATTATGGCTTTGTTTACAAATTAAATCATGTTTTTTATCAAATTATAACAGAAATGGACTCAAACGACGCACTTTTGACACTTTGGAGCAACTGCAGTTCTTCAAATCTGCCGCTAGGTGTCGCCAAAACGCACACAAACTCCACTTCTGTTTATTAGTACTGTTAAAATTTGTTAAAATAATGAGAATTAAAGGGTATTTTCTGATCTGTGTTCTCATTTTTGCAACAGAACAACTTTGCGTAGTAAATGTATAAAATAGAAAAAAATTTAAAATATTAAGTGTATTAAAGGTCTTAAATTACACAAAATTGATGTTATAATGTTGTTACTGCAAATCTGGAGTTGTGTTTTGTTTCATTCACACAAATTAAATCGTGCTTTTTTATCAAATTATAACACAGAAATTGACTCAAACGACGCACTTTTGACACTTTGGAGCGACTGCAGTGCTTCAAATCTGCCGCTAGGTGTCGCCAAAACGCACACAAACTCCACTTCTGGTTATTCGTCGTTCATTGTTAAAATCTAATAAAAAAATCAGAATTAAAGGGTATTTTCTGATCCATGTTTTCATTTTTGCACCTGAACAACTTTGCGTAATAACAGTAAACGTATAAAATAAAAAAAAAATTTAAAATATTAAGTGTATTAAAGGTCTTAAATTATGCAAAATTGACGTTATAATGTTGTTACCGTCTCAAAAACAAACTTGGAGTTGTGTTTTGTTTCATTCACATGAACAAATCTTGTACATTTAGACGGAAAAACTACAGCTTCGTGACATCACAAGGTGGAACAGAGCGTTTTGAGCTTCGGAGATGTAGAGAATCCGTGTGTCCTTCGTTCATTTGTTTTTCAAAATAAAACCAAAAATAAGAACATGAAAAAAAAACAAAAAACGATTTTCTTCTTTATTTGTCTCCAAAACCAAAATGAAAAAACAGATAATGATTCGTTTTTTCAGTTTTCAATTTTGTGTTTAAATGAAAAATGGAAAAAACGGATAACGGACTGAACCAGAACTGAACCAGGACTAAACCAGGTCCAGGACCAGACCGGAACCAGACTGTGACTGGGACTAGGACTGAGACCAGGACTGAGGCCAGGACCAGGACAAGGACCGAGACCAGGACTGAGGCCAGGACCAGACCGGGAACTGAGACCAGGACTGAGACTAGAACTGAGCCTGGGACCAGACCGGGACTGAGACCAGGACTGAGACCTGGACCAGACCAGAACTGAGATCAAGGACTAAGACCAGGACTGAGACTGGGACCAGACCGGGACTGAGAGTGGGACCAGACCGGGACTGAGACCAGGACTGAGGCTGAGACCAGCCCGGGACCAGACCGGGACTGAGACCAGGACTGACCAGGACTGACCAGGACTGAGACTGAGATCAGACCGGGACCAGACCAGCACTAAAATCGGTTTAGTCCCGTTTTAGTCCAGGTTTAGTCCTGGTTCAGTCCGTTATCCGTTTTTTTCCATTTTTCATTTAAACCCAAAATAATTATATAATAGTTGTTTTTTTTTTCTTTTCATTTTCTTATTTTTGGTTTTACTTTGAAAAACAAATGAACGAACGACACACGGACACAAGGAAACAAAAAACACAACTCCAGGTTTGTTTTTGAGGCGGTAACAACATTATAACATTATGAAGATTTAATAATTATAATTTTTGAGTCTTATTTAAAATACATACGCAAAGTTGTTCAAGTGCAATCCTCGTTTTCACCACCAGGGGTCACTAGAAACGCCGCTGTGCCTCTGCCCATTGACTTCCACTCAAACCGTTTCTCGTTCGAGGACTTGGTGAAGTGTTGCTACAGCTCAGGGTCCTGACGCCGGCTTTCGTCTTTCGCTTTTTCCCTGATGATTTTTTTTGGACACAATTCCCGTTCTCCCCTTCCCCCTGTCCCCGCCCCCCCCCCTCCCCCCCCGAAAGTTTGTTATCTTTAAGGCTAACAGTCCCGTGAACGAAACTCCGCCGCGAAAAAACGCAACCGAATGAGTTAAAATCACTTGAACTCAAAATACGTGAACTGAGAATAATTAATTTCTCTTTAAAATCCATAAATTTCAGAAAAGAACTATTTAAAACTAAAAAATTATATCTTTAGAATGGTTAAAAGTCCTCAAAATGGCGCCCATGACTGCACTACGTTACAGAGAGCAGCATAGTCCTGGTTTAGATCTGGGTTTCTGGTTCACTTTAGTCCCGTTTCAGACTCTGGGACTCTTCTATAAATTTTTAGGCTGGGTTTAGGCCTGGTCTAAGTCCAGTCCTAGACCGGTTTTGGACTTGATTTCTTGTTTAAATTGTTCACTTTTAATGAGAGTATAGACCTGGTGTGATCCTGGTTTAGATCTGGTTCATTCCCAGGACAGGTCAGGTTCTGAACATAGTCTTGATGGAAATTTAGTCCTGGTGTAGACCTAGTTTAGACCTGGTTTAGTCCTGGTCCAGTCCCTGTCATTCTTCTGAACATACAGAAGTCTTAAGGTGAGTTTAGCCCTGGTTTATTTCTGGTTCAGTCCTGGTTTAGTCCTGGTTCAAGGTCATTCTTCTGAACATACAGGAGTCCTGAGGGGAATTTAGTCATGGTTTAATCTTGGTTTAATCCTGGTTTAGTCCTGGTTTAGTCCTGATTTACTCCCAGGCCATTCTTCTGAATATACAGAAGTCTTAAGGGGAATTTAGTCCTGGTTCAGTCCTGGTTTAGTCTCAGTTTAGTACTGATTTTATCCTAGGTCACTCTTCTGAACACCTACAAGTCTTGAAGGGAGTTTAGTCCTGGTTTAGTCCTGGTTTAGTTCCAGGTCATTCTGAACATACAGAAGTTTTGAGGGGAATTTAGTCCTGGTTGAGTCTCAGTTTAGTACTGGTTTGATCCCAGGTCATTCCTCTGAACATAAAGCTTGAGGTTAATTTAGTCCTGGTTTAGTACCGGTTTAGTTTTAGGACACACTTCTGAACATACATAAATCCTGAGGGAAATTTAGTCCTGGTTTAGTCCTGATTTAGTCCTGATTTAGTCCTGGTTCAGTTTTAGGTCATTCTTATGAAACATACATAAGCCTTGAGGGGAGTTTAGTCCAGGTTTAGTCCTGGTTTAGTCCTGGTTTAGTTTTAGGTCACCCTTCCGAACAAACAGAAGTCCTGAGGGGAGTTTAGTCCTGGTTCAGTTCTGGTTTAGTCCTGGTTCAGTCCCAGATTCTTCTATGAACCTTCTTTTAAGTTACAGTGAATAGTTTTAATTATTTGCCAAAGTTCTAATGAAAAAACTACCAGATTTTCAAAACTAAATTATTTAAAGAATTGAGAAATCCATTTAAAATCTGTAAAAACGAAATCCTGGCTTTTTGAGTAAATCCATTTAAAGTATTGTTCATCAAACCTGTTCATTTATTTGAATAATCTTAGTGGTCTTCGTGTCGTCTTTACATATTTTGAAACCAAGTCATTTCAACTCATTTTCCCGACGGCTCGTTTTTTGGCGGCGCGAAAAGGCCTAGCTAGCACAGACACAAAACACAAAACAAAAAAATAAAAAAAACACGCCAACACGGACACAGGTGGCTAGCTAGTGCACGTTTATACAGAGTAACACTGATGCATGAGGAGCGTATCCGTCGGGTAAACCAGGAATACTGTAGTGCAGAGGTCGTTGTTCATTCAACTCAAAAATACTGATTTACGAAAACTTCATTGGCAATAAAAAGGTATAGAAATCTGTAACCACTTTTTTACAGGTTAAAATGCAAGAACAAGGTTAGTAACACTGACAAAATAAACAAGACGAGACAGGAAAAGTCGAAGCGCGTTTACGCCAGACATTACGGTAAATCTGAGCTCGGGATTAAGCAAGAAAGCTGATTTTTAGTTACTGTTATGGTCAAAAATATCTGTTTTTTAATGTGATTTTGCAGTAAAATAACAACGTTGGAAGGTTTTTATTTTAATTAATAGAAGCATCAAGAATTTTGGACTTTCCGTCGTAGCGCAATCCAGACTGGGAAGGATTTTTCGAAAAAGTGAGCATCAAATCGTCATGTTTTTCCAAGTCTTTTGAACCATATCACTTTTGTTTCTGGTTCTGATATTGTCATATTTTAGTTTTGGGATTCGGACATCGTTAATTGTGTGGTTGTTGGATCCTAACAGCGGAAAACGGTGCGAGAAATTTGTTTGCGAACTCCATAAATGCAAAAGTGAATCAGATGTGTGTGACTCAAACCTCTGTTCAAACTGTTTCTCTTCCCGACGGAATTGAAAAATAGTGAAAGGTGAAGGCGATGGGCAGGATTGATCCACAGGAAGAACCAAAAAGGAAACATTTGACTGACTAAGAAATCATCCTGAGTTTGCAGAGAACATTTTGTTTGTGGAGCGACAACAAAACAAAATCCCGTTTGTTAAGTGAGAGGAGCAGAAGACAAACAGACTGAGCTGCACTTTCTTGTTCTTGTGGTTTTACAGCAACATCACGTCTTGGTCTCTTTGCAGTGGAAGGTGTTTCTTGGTGAACAGTTGGTGCCTTTCGACTTTGGCGTTGAATTTTTAAATTCATAATCAAGGTTGAGCGACGGATCAGGGTTTTGTTTTGATGTCGCTTCACAGTTCGCAAACTTCCGAAGCCCGTTTCTCGAGTCGTTTTCCGCTGTTAGGATCCAACAGTCACACAATTAACGATGTCCGAATCCCAAAACTAAAATATGACAATATCAGAACCAGAAACAAAAGTGATATGGTTCAAAAGACTTGAAAAGATCGACTTTGACAACAGACACATCCCACTGGGAAAACAAACATGGAGGTTTGATGATCCTTCCCAGTATGGATTGTGTGATGACCGGAAGTCCGAAATTCTTGATGCATCCATTGGTCAATGTAGTCCTCGTTGAACAAAACTTGTATTGTTTTTTTAGATTATAAGGATTTCTAGAAGTGAGTGAGTGCGTGAAGATTTGATATTTTGGGGGATTTACTTGTGAATCATGAGTTTAATCCACTTTTTTACACATTTAATCTCTCTTTATGTAAAATCAATTTGTTTCCTATGACTTTTCTTCTGTATACATAGTAGTTTTTGCAGCTCCCCCTGCAGGTGGAGCGTTGCGTATGCAGTTTGGGTCAGATACGCACAGATACTAGGGATGTAACGATTATTTTTTAGTTACACGATGCATTTATTCAGCATTTTTCTCTAAAATTTACGCAAATTATTCAAATTGAAAATAAATATCGGCTACAAATATGAACCTTAGAACAGTTTTGCGATGTAGAAAACTCAGGGATGTAACAATATCCAAATCTCTCGGTACGATATTATCACGATATACATCTCACGGTACGATATTTATTGCGATATTTTGAAGAGGCCGATATTTTTTGCTTTTAAAATACCTTGACAAGATTTTGGTGTGAATTATCCCAGGAATTCATGTAAAAAAATATCTATTCATGTTGTTTGCGCTGAAATGAATCATGGGAAATGTAGTTCCTGATGTTGATAAGCCGTTCCTACTTTTACCAAGACTTTTACTGCTACGATATCACGATATTTCAGTTATTGTTACATCCCACAGATAAAATTTTAGATTTTCGAGAGCTTTTGAGTTTCTTTAATCGAACAAAGCCCCAGAAATAACCTGCTGACCCTGTAGTTTTGACGATTTAGTGGATAGAAAGGCGAACGGCAAAAAGCAGAAGCCACTTTTCGATTAATTTGTGATTCAAAACTGGACTAAAATGTAAAACGCTTTGAGAAATTTGATAGAAACAACAAAAAAACAAAAAGAATCCAACATTTTAAGTTGTTATGATGAAAAACGTGAAATTTTACTGCAAACATTTAACATTTTTAAAAATCTGATTACTTGGTGATTAAGTACGTGAACTTTTTAACACTTATTTTATTGAATAGTGGTTCAAAAAAGCAGCTATTGCCCAATTTAAACACAATTAACACAATTTAAAACACCAAATTGTGAAGAATAAAACAGTCAAAAGTGCTACGAAGTGTCTGTTGTCGAGTGTGTGTTAAAATATTCCAGAAAACGACAAACTTAAATTCATTACTGTCACGGTAGTTCATAAAATTTAACACTTATTTAGTAAAATTTTGGCGCAATGTGTTAAAAATCAAGTTTTTTGGCAATAAATTAAATGGCACAATGGATTTTATGGGGAATTACTTCACGTTTAGTAAAAATAATACAAAAACTGACTGGAAAATTTAACACTGGATGGGATTTTTGAACTGCAAATTTACCGTAATGTTTAGTAAAGACGCGCCCCGTAATAACAACCTGGTATATTTCAGTAACAAGTCTAAAAATGTCATCGGGTGAACTTTAAATCTTCTATAAACAATTTTTAACACTGATAATTCGTATTTTTCCACAAGTTCAGGCACGCCGCGGTTTGTACACAGTAGTGGGCCGAAAAAGCAACCATCCGCCTGTCGCTTCACGTCGAGAGCGTCTTTTGAGCGATTTTTCCTTCGATTTCATTTCATTATTTGGCGTTTTTTGCCTTGACTCTTCTGCGCGTGTCACAGTTTTTACCCCGGGCTTCCGCGTTTTCCTCGGAATCCGCGCCCGAAGCCTCCCCGAGTTCGACCTCCATCTCCTCGCCGCTCTCCTCGTTTTCGTCGTTTTCTCCCCGGGCGTGTTCCTCTCCGCCGTCCGTGTCGTCGACCTGGACCACGCGAATATCCTCCACGCACATGGCTTCCTCCTCGTACTCCTCCTCCTCCTCGTCGTCGTCGTCGTCGTCCTCGTCCTCGTCCTCGTCGTCGTCCTCGCTCGTCGCCTGGCTGTCGGAGCGCTGCGTGGGGGCGGGGCTGTGGCTGTCGCCGTTGCTCCGGCCCTGCGTCTCCGCCGGCGAGGAGAAGGCGGAGAAGGAGTAGCGGTGGTCCTGCGTCTCGGCCGGCGGGGAGGAGGCGGAGGACGAGCAGACGGAGGCGGACGAGGAGAAGGGGTTTCGTTTGCAGTAGGAGTAGCGGTGGTTCATGTGCTGCGAGTAGGAGCCGGAGTGGGAGAAGCGTTTGCCGCACTTGTCGCACTCGTAGGGTTTGATTCCCGTGTGGAGCCGGGCGTGTTCGATCAGGTGGTGTTTGTGTTTGAAGGCCTTTTTACACACGGTGCATTCGTGAGGGCGCTTTTCCTGCAAAACAGAAATAAAAGTGCGTGAAATTAATGAAAATATCTGTAAACAGGCGTGTTTAAAGCTGCACTGTCAATCTGTGTATCAGTTAAAATAAAACCAAAAATAAGAAAACGAAAAAAACAACGACTATTTTCTTCATTATTTGTCTAAAACCAAAATAAAAAACAGTTAACGAACAAAAAAAACAACAAAATCGAAAACTGAAAAAGTTTTGTTAAAGTGAATGATGGAAAAAAATAACAGCCAATTCCCGTTTCTGTTTAGACCTAGTTTAGAACTGGTTTAGTCCTGGTTTAGAACTGGTTTAGTCCTGGTTTAGACCTAGTTTAATCCTGGTTTAGTTCTGTTTTAGTCCTGATTTAGACCTGGTTTAGTCCTGATTTAAACCTAATTTAGTCCTGGTTTAGACCTAATTTAGTCCTGATTTAAACCTAATTTAGTCCTGGTTTAGAATTAATTTAGTCCTGGTTTAGACCTGGTTTAGATGTGGTTTAGTCCTGGTTTAGACCTGGTTTTAGTCCTGGTTTAGACCTAATTTATTCCTAGTTTAGACCTAATTTAGTCCTGGTTTAGACCTAATTTAGTCCTGGTTAAGACCTGGTTTAGTCCTGGTTTAGACCTGGTTTAGTCCTGGTTTAGACCTAATTTAGTCCTGGTTTAGACCTAATTTAGTCCTGGTTTAGACCTAATTTAGTCCTGGTTTAGACCTTGTTTAGACCTGGTTTAGACCTTGTTTAGACCTGGTTTAGACCTAATTTAGTCCTAGTTTAGACCTAATTTAGTCCTGATTTAGACCTAATTTAGTCCTGGTTTAGACCTGGTTTAGATGTGGTTTAGTCCTGGTTTAGACCTGGTTTTAGTCCTGGTTTAGACCTAATTTATTCCTAGTTTAGACCTAATTTAGTCCTGGTTTAGACCTTGTTTAGTCCTGGTTTAGACCTAATTTAGTAGTAGTAGTAGTATTAGTAGTAGTAGTAGTAGTAGTAGTAGTAGTAGTAGTAGTAGTAGTAGTAGTAGTAGTAGTAGTAGTAGTAGTAGTAGTAGTAGTAGTAGTAGTAGTAGTAGTAGTAGTAGTAGTAGTAGTAGTAGTAGTAGTAGTAGTAGTAGTAGTACCTGTATGTTCATATTTATGCCTGAGCAGGGAGCTGGCCTTCTGAAACACTTTGTTGCACAGGTCACAGGGAAACACTCCCTGATCTCCCATCTTCCTCTTCTTGGAGTCGTCGTTCTCCTGTCCTCCTGCGGGGGGCGCACTCTTCTGACCGCTCACCACCTTCTCCTTCTTCTCAATCTGAAACCAGAAAACTAATTATATCAGCATGTCTTAGTGCCTTTACTTAAACTAAACAGGGACTAACCTAATAAAAAATGTGGATAAATGTACGTCAAACTAAAAACTGTAACTCTGGCTCTCGAAATGTGTTACGAGTTTGAACTTCTTACACAAATAACAATTTAATTAGGGGTGGGACATTAACACATTAATTACAATAATTAATTCCAAAGAACATGACGCATCAAAAGTATTAACGCATTTAATCACAGTTTGCCAACGCGGAATGTTTGTTCAGTGTGTCGTGGTACAACAATGACACTGACGCCACTGTTGGGAAGGTGACTTTTAAAATGTAATCCCCTACAGATTACAGATTACACACCCCAGAATGTAGTTTGTAACGTAATCCATTAAATTACTTAAAGTGAGTAATGTAATCTGAATACTTTGGATTACTTGATTTGCTGTAGAGAAACAAAGACGAGGAAATCTTCACATAAGATGTTTTGTCTGATAAAAAAAAAAAAAAAAAGCCCAGACTTTACTGAACCAAATTAAAAATATTATTGACAGAAGAAGAGACACGTCCACACAGCATCATTTAGTCCTGTTAAATCCTGGTTTAGACCTGGTTTAGTAGTCCTGGTTTAGTCCTGGTTTTAGACCTGGTTTTAGACCTGGTTTAGACCTGGTTTAGTCCTGGTTTAGTCCTGGTTTTAGACCTGGTTTAGACCTGGTTTAGTCCTGGTTTTAGACCTGGTTTAGTCCTGCCTGGTTTAGACCTGGTTTAGACCTGGTTTAGTCCTGGTTTAGTCCTGGTTTAGACCTGGTTTAGTCCTGTTTAGACCTGGTTTCCTGGTTTTAGTCCTGGTTTAGACCTGGTTTAGTCCTGGTTTTAGTCCTGGTTTAGTCCTGGTTTAGTCCTGGTTTAGACCTGGTTTAGACCTGGTTTAGACCTGGTTTAGTCCTGGTTTAGTCCTGGTTTAGTCTTTTAGAGTCCTGGTTTAGTCCTGGTTTAGACCTGGTTTAGTCCTGGTTTAGACCTGGTTTAGACCTGGTTTAGTCCTGGTTTAGACCTGGTTTAGACCTGGTTTAGTCCTGGTTTAGTGGTTTTTAGTCCTGGTTTAGACCTGGTTTTAGTCCTTTTAGTCCTGGTTTAGTCCTGGTTTTAGTCCTGGTTTTAGTCCTGGTTTTAGACCTGGTTTAGTCCTGGTTTAGACCTGGTTTTAGACCTGGTTTAGACCTGGTTTAGACCTGTTTTAGTCCTGGTTTAGTCCTGGTTTAGACCTGGTTTTAGTCCTGGTTTAGTCCTTTAGTCCTGGTTTAGTCCTGGTTTAGTCCTGGTTTAGTCCTGGTTTAGTCCTTTTTAGTCCTGGTTTTAGTCCTGGTTTTAGTCCTGGTTTAGACCTGGTTTAGTCCTGGTTTAGTCCTGGTTTAGTCCTTTTAGTCCTGGTTTTAGAAGACCTGGTTTAGACCTGGTTTAGTCCTGTTTTAGTCCTGGTTTAGTCCTGGTTTAGATCCTGGTTTTAGTCCTGTTTTAGACCTGTTTTAGTCCTGGTTTAGTCCTGGTTTAGTCCTGGTTTTAGGTTTAGTCCTGAGACCTGTTTTAGTCCTGGTTTAGTCCTGGTTTAGCCCAAAATGTGAAAACAGCAAAATACCGCTGTGTAATCCGTTTATTCCAACAAAGTAACTGTAATCCAAGCCCGCGTACCTTGATGGCCTTGTGCCCGTTGAGCAGTACGGTCTTGCCCGCGGTGGAGCTGCCAGCAGGGGGCGCGTAGGTGTAGGTGAGCTGCGGGATCAGGATGGTTCTCTGTTTGGTGGTCGGGTTTATCGCGCTGAGGCACCCGACCGTCCCCTGCCCGGCGATCGCCACCAGCGTCGGGATCTGCGTCGCCGTCACGAAGTTCGAGTTCCCGCTCTGGGGCGTGGTCACGTACAGCGCCCGCGGCTCCAGCTGGTCTTTGCTGATGCACGCCAAATTCAACGGCGTCGTCTCCAGTTTGGACAAGTTGTGGAGCAGCTGGACCGTCTGCGTCGGGTTTTGCGATTTGGCGTTGTTGTTGTCTTTCGGCGATTTTTCTTCCGTCGCGGTGGTTTCTTTACTCGTTTCGCTCGGGAGTTCCGGAGTTGCGGATTTCGGTAACGACAAGTCCAGTGGCTCGGCTGTAGAATCGGACTCACTTGGCTCCTCCGGTTCGGTTTTGATTGTGATTTGCGAACTCGTTTTTGGGGCTAGAAGGAGCTGGAGAAGTGCTGAGAGATTCCGAATTCTCTTGCGTTAAATCCTTCGCGTTTTCGGCCGTTACGACGTCAGAATTTTCTGCTGTCAAATTGCCATCCACGTTTTCCGTTTCGTTCTCTTTCGCGGGTTCCTTCATCGCAACATCGGCCTCTTGCGCATCGCCTTCCTTCGCACTTTCCTCCATCGATTCTTCATTTTCTGGTTCATCTATCGCTACGCCATCCGCTTTCGGAGTTTCTCGCGTCGTCGAATCGTCTTTAGACTCTAAGCGCTCCTCCTTTTCCTCCTCATCATCCAAGTCTATCCGATCCACTTTTCCTTTAATCGACAAATCCTGCGCCTGCTCCAAACTCTTCGCCGCGACTTTCTTCCCGCCTTTGTTCATTTTCACGAACCACTTCTGTACCACCTCCACGGGTATGCTCACTTTCACCGCCAGCTTTTCCAGCGCGGCGTGACTCGGCCGCGAGTCGGAGGAGTACGCGGATTTCAGCACGGACAGAACGTCGTCCGCCGGGCTCGGCTCGTCCAGCGCCACTCCGGCTTCGCTCAGTAAATCCGCGAAAGAAGGATCCAACGCGGCGCTGTCCACGGCTTCACAGTTCGCCGCTTTGCGATGCTGCAGCAGGTGGACCGCTTCTAAATGCTCCGGACACTCGTCGCACAATAAGCAATCCGACGTTTTTGGCATCTCCGCTACCGATTCCGTTTTGCTGATCACGATCCCCAAATCGTCCGAGATCGGCTCCGAAACCGGCTCTTCCTTCACTTTTTTCGAAATACTCAAATCCGTCGGGAATTCTTGTACATCCGACGTGCACGACTGCTCCGTTTTACTCGGGATCGGCGCCGCTGCTGCTATGGGAACCGCTGACGCAACCGGAGGGCTGTTTTTCACCACAATCGAAGCCGGCTGCGTGTTCGCCGTCGTCGCCGCGGTCGGGCTAATACTGTAGTTGATGATGATCTTTGTCGTCCCGTCGTGATCCACGAACGCCGGTAAACTAATGATCTGCTGCTGCGGCTGCTGGACCACGAACCCCTGCTTCCCTTGCGTCCCGTTCACCAACACCTTCCCGAGAACGTTTTGCAAATCGTTGAGGTTGATCCCGATCGGCGACATCAGTCCCACAGTCGGAAGCACCATCGCGACGCCTTGAGGCAAACCCGTCCCCACCGCCGGCCTGTTGATCCCGTTGACGGGCGGGACCACGGTGGGTTTGATGTCCTCCTCCACGGGTTCGGTTTTGATTTGCGTGACGGGGATGTGCTCCTGGAGGGGTTTGCTGTCCATGTTCCTGGCGGGCGCGATGGCGACGTGGGCGGAGGAGGCGGCGATCTGGTGGGGTTTCAGGGGCGGGTGGTGCAGGCCATTGGGGAAGTGGGCGGGGGCGCACTTTTTGCTGCTGATGTGGGAGCTGTACGAGCCCGAGTGAGAGAAACGCTTGTGGCAGTTGGAGCATTCGTACGGTTTCTCACCTGGAAAACACAGATAAAAGAGGAATCAATAAATAAATAAATACAGACACAGAAATAGTCAAATAAGTGGAAGAGTTCACTGTCATGGGTTTGTATTAGAGCCCGACCGATATATCGGCTGGCCGATATTATCGGCCAATATGGGCACCTGGAGACATATCGGCTATCGGCCGATATGCTTGCTGATATGGGCCGATATTTCACGTGGGCATGTTATACCTCGTTATAAAGCTCAGACTCTCTACATCATGTTCATTTAATCCAATTTACAGACAGATAAATGTCCTCATATGTGGCTCCGCACCAGTATTTATCTGCGGTGTAATTTGTCTGTGTGTGTGTGTGTCCGTACTGTCCCTGAACACACCACAGAGTCACGTCACTTCACATGTGTTTGTTTACACCCGCAGCCGTGCGCAACACTGAGATTATTTTCTTTTTACGGACAATCGGTTTGAGTCTGGATTAAAAGGACATTTATTAGTGCAGATTTGTGATGTGAGGAGGAGCCTGTGTGAGCGGTGAGTGTTGGAAATACATCGACTTTGAAACTAGTTTAGGTTTTGTTAGCGATTAGCTGCTGTAGCTCCTGCACACATAAACAGGCTGTTTTCTATTGGTCTATTGTAAAGTGACTTATATTGGTCGTATATTTGTTACTGGACCTGCATTGATATGTAAATGAGCTGTGAATAGACGTGTGAATGATCCACATTTATGCATATAATTAATTACCGCGGCGCGCACGTTTTTACGGCTAAAGGCTAATAGCGGTAGTTTATTTACTAGCTAGGAGTTATGGGTCGGTCACGATCGAAGCGGCTCTTAGAGCGAACAACGGGAGCATGTTTCTTATTGGGAGCCGTGTTTTCTCTTTTTCTCACTTTTTCTCTTCAAGCCGCTTGTAGACCCATAGTTTGACAGCAGCAGCGGCTGAAAACGAAACTTTCAGAAATCTGCGTGTGCACAGGAAAAAAAAAAAAAAAAAAAAGTGCATATTTGGCTGCAGTTCAGCATAAAATGAATAAACCAGGACTAATCTTGAGCTCGAGTGCAGGAGAGAGAGATAGAAACCGAGTCCCGACACTCAGTCCTGGTTTAGTCCTGTTTCTGGTTTAGTCCTGCTTGCAACAAAACAATCTCAAGAGTCGCTTGGGAGCCGAAAGAGCCAGCTGCTTTAGTGAGCCGAGCCAAAAGAGCCGGTTTTCAAAAAAAAAAAAACTGGAATACCCATCACTAGTAGCTAGAATGTGATGCAAAAAATGCCATTAGGCCAAACTTCTGTATGTAAATATGATGTAAAGAGGCAGAACAACAATAAATGTTGCCTAAATAAACCCAATTTAGAATCCACTAGA